CCGACATGTGCAGATGTAGCTATTTTGCGCGAATTATACATTTCACTTGAATCTCGGATTTAACGTGCCTTCTTACTACAGGCAGGTTAAGTTGCCTCATGACAAACTATCTCGCTATGAAATACAGTTCCGGGCAGGTTAACAGATTTCTGGGCAGGTTAAGATGTTGGGTCAAGAGATAGTGACGATGATGAGTGCTAATGTACTAGCGAAGGTCATCATCGTGGGTCAACCTCGAACACGTTTGTGTTCGCCACGGGGCGTTCTGCAGCAGCGCCACGAACACGACCCTGTTCGGGCGAACCTCGAACACATTCGGGCGAACGATTTAAGCTGAAAAACAAAACCTGTTCGGTCGAGGCGAACCGAACAGGTGTTCGCCACCTTGCTCATCCCTAGTGGCAGGTGAGCCATGAAGAAAAAATACGATGAGTATCGAATGCAAAAATTTCTGAACATTTTGATGGGGAAGACGAGTCTGGAAGGGATTGGGGAATGGACGGGGGTGAAGTGGATGGCTGAGCGGTTGACAGGAGGGGTGATGCACATCCATCTCGAAATTTAGATTTGAGGTTGCTATCCCGATGTGCGAACTGAAGTCTGATTTTATTTATTTATTTTATCTTAATTAAGTCCGCCACGTCGCAAACTCAACTCAGCGGTTTTCATACCTTTGTTTCCAGTCAGCCTGCGTGCATTTCAGCGTATCTTCAACAGAAAAGCAGCGCACCTTTTTTTTTTTTAGGATAAACACAACACACAAGCCGTGTTCCAAATCCAAGCGGATGTGCCATCTTCACGTGGGCAGGGTAAAAGTGGCACGTCTTCTGGACAAGCCAAAGTATTTTCAACGAGAAGACTATTCATCGAACAGACTGCCGGGTCTTGCGGAGCCCGGCTCGTCGAGCTAGCTTTGGCTTGTATAGCTTTTATACGCTCAAACCCTAAAGCGCATAGCATTTATACGCAAAACGGCACACTACGCTACACGTATTTAGAATGTTTTGGGGGCTGCATGGGGAAAAACATCGTGTGTATACGAAAAGATGCGCAATCCATGGTGAGAATTTCGCCAATGTAAAAATGCAATCCGGCAGTCTAGGGAAGTGGGATTGTTCCTTCAAAGTTTTCTGTTGCGTCTAGCTAGCAGTTCAAATTTGAGCTTTCGATTAGTACTGCATTGAAACCCATCCCATCTACGAACTCCAACCTGTCGAAAACGTCCCCCCAACAAACCCACTCACGCTACTTACCTCACAGAAATCAGCTTGACCCGAACTGAGTGGAACCCAATTCGATTTAACTATCAGGCTAGTGAAGTAAGAATCGGGCCAGGCCGAGCCATCTTACCTTCTGCTTCATTGGTTTGTCTTGTCCATCTCCTTGGCACGGTCTTTGCTTGTCCCTCGTCTCACTGTGTCGAACAGTTCTTTTGCAAGCAACCGGCTCACCAGCTCCATCCCCGCTGGCATTGGCTTGCTGACAAAGCTGGTAGCCCTGTAAGATCTACTGTATGTAATCCGCCCACGTTGCTTTTGAACACCGTTCTCTCGAAGACTGTTTGCGTCGAACCGAGCATGTTCATTTTGACTTCACGGGGTGTTCGATTGTGTTTGTTTACACTATACATTTTGTAATGTAGAAACAACAGCCAAATTCCACCTATCTGCTGTCAATATACTCGGCCAGACTTAGGGTCGATCGACCTGACAAGACCAGGCTGGGTCGGAGGAGGGTCTGTTAATGTTAGCCCTCAATCTCACTTTTGTACTTGTACTTTTTATATCCTAGTTTAGTGTAGTTTGCACTTTGTGTTTGGTTGGGTGTACACCCACATCCCAACCAAACCCAAATGTGATCTCCAAGCAATCTCCAACCCACCAATTGGAGATTGCCTTGGGATTACCTCCAATTCCCTAGGATTGTCCCCGACTCACTCCCCACCCTTACCTTACCCATTTCCAATGTACTTAAAGAGCCTTGAGCTCATTACTAATTCATGGATTCTAAGCTCAAGTTCTAACATGGTAGCAGAGCGATTCAACCGCACACACGTATCATGATCCTCCTATCTCAACGGGCTCTTGTCCCGCTTTCTTTGGCGTAGCCGCCATCAATCCTGTCGCCGGTGATTCGCGACTTCCTTGGCCGGAAATTTTCCCGCGCCACTCTCCCTTCCTTCTCGACGACTTTCGCAACTTCTCTGGTAAGCGCACCGTCAGAGCTTTAACCAATCGCATTTTTCCGACAATCGTCTTCGCTCCACTTCTTCTCGTCGGGTCGCCGCCCGTCGCCCTGCAGCTTCTCGTCGGGCCGCCGCCCGTCGCCCTGCAGCTTCTTGTCGGGCCGCCGCCCGTCGCCCTGCATCTTCTCATCGGGCTGCCGCCCGTCGCCCTGCATCTTCTCGTCGGGCTGCTGCCCGTCGGCCCGCAACGGCACTCCACAGCTGAACAGGTGCAGCCGCGCAGCTGAGCAGCCGTGTAGCAGCGAAGTTGAGCAGCAGCGTAGCTGTGAAGCTGAGGGTGGTGTGTGGGGGGGTGTGTGGGAATAGGGTTAGCTACTGAAATCGGCCGATTTGACCTACCTTCATCGGCCTTAAACTTCCTTCTACGAGACATTCCGAAGCAGTCGACATTAAAGCTTTTTCACTCTTCGCGTCCCTCGGGTTTTCTCCTTCGGAAACCACAAACCTCACAATTCTCTTTCGTAAACCCTAAACCCCGAGCTCTTCAAATTCTCCTTCGGAAACCCTAAACCTCAAGTTTCTATCGGTGACTCAAGAGCAGCGCTTCACGCGAGACCTAAAGGGTTCTTCGCCATGGCTTTCGCCTCGGCCACTCTCGCCAACCCCATCACCCCGCTCCGCCTTGAAGCCGACGTCACCAGCTCCAACTTCAAGGCATGGAGCTACGGGGTTGACAAGCTCCTCCTGAGTCGTGAAGTGAGTGGACTTGACCTCAAGGACGTTCTTCTCAATCATGGCAAGGGAAAACAACCCCCCATCCCCAAGGAGCCGTCCGATCCAACCGATGCCGTGGCAACCCAGGAGTACGAGGACTCTGTTGCCAAGTATCGCAAGTGGGAGAAGGCCGATGCGGCTATCATTAGCGTCTTCATCGGCTCCACTCCACCCGAACTTGTCAACACGTTTCACAACTACCCCACTTCCAACGCCATCTGGAAGCATCTCCAGGACAGGTTCATGAATAAGACGGCGGTCGGGGTGGCCATCCTCATTCCTAGTATGTTTCAAGTCCGCCTTGAGGACTGCCCGGGTATGGCCGACTACATCGCCAAGGTGCAAACCATCCATGGCGAGCTCAAGGAGCTGGGTATCATCTTCCCCGAACAAGCTCCTGCGGCCGCCCTTCTTGTTGGTCTCGCCTCGGCATACGAAGTCACAAGGAAATTGCTCCTTACGTCCTCGGCAGAAGACCTCACCTTTGCTAAGGTCTCCTTGATAGAATTGGAACTGAACTGATTTATTGATAAGGAAGGCACTAGGACTTAAGTACAAACACCGTTGGGTTGAGCAAAGCTAGGGAAAGGATGGGATGGGAATCCTAGCAAATCTCCAATTGGTGAGTTGGCAGATTTGCAGGATTATGAGGGAATCCCAACCAGATAGGGTTGGGATTACAAATCTACACCCAACCTACAAAGTAACCTAACCGATATAGAATATAGTACAAAGTGTTGACTGACTATTTCTAACACACCCCCTAGGCTGACAACACTTCAGCCACATGGTGGCCCAACACCCATGGACGAGAGGAGGCGGTAGTGGTCTTGGCGAACAAGAGACTTGGTAAACAAGTCAGCAAGGTTGCAGTCGGAGGCAATGTGTTCAGCCTTCAGCTGCTCGCGCTGCACCAGCTCACGAAGAAAATAGTGACGGACCGCAATGTGCTTGGTGCGGCCGTGGAAGACGGGGTCCTTTGTGAGATGAATGGTGCTCTCGTTGTCACACCAAAGCGTTGGGGCTGGTTGAGGATACCCAAGTTCAGCCAGCAAGAAGGAGAGCCAACGGGCCTCCTGAGCAGCCATGGTCCCGGCATACAGCTCTGCCTCACAGGTCGACAGTGAGACGGAGGACGACCCAGTGGAGCGCCAACTGACAACCCCACTGCCAAGGGTAAAGCAATACCCTTGGGAAGAGCGCTGATCACTCTGGTCATCAGCATAGGACGAGTCACTGTACCCCTCAAGGCGAACAGGGGAAGAGCCGCCAAGAGTGAGCACATAGTCCTGTGTGCCTTTGAGATAGCGGAGGACCCGCTTGGCGGCAGACCAGTGGTGGCTCGTGAAGCGACCAGGTGCAACGTAGCGAGACAGGACACTGACTGGATAGGCCAAGTCTGGTCGAGTGCACATCATCGCGTACATGAGGGAACCAACGAGCTCGGGGTAAGCCTCATCACAGGGCTCAGGTGAAGGAACAGAGGGTGCAGTGAGTTGGTGCTGCAAGGCATATAGTCAGTGTACTCGAGGTGGATGGGTGAAAGTCGAGGGACCCTAAGGTGCTCTTGAGCTTGTTGTGCCATTCCCGGGGTGCTTGCTTGAGGCCATATACTGGTCGATTCAGCTTCCATACAGTGCCTGGTGGAAAAGGAGCTGGAAATCCTTCGGGCCGCTCCATGTAGATTTCCTCTCGAAGGATCCCTTGCAGAAACGCAGAAGACACATCCATGCAGTCAACCTCCATGTCATCTCGAGCGGCCACATCGAGAAGGGTGAGCAGTGTGGGAGGTTTGGAAGTGGGAGAGAATGTCTCAAAGAAGTCCAGTCCATGCTTTTGGGTAAATCCCTTGGCACAGTACCGGGCTTTGAAGACAGGAAATTCGCCTGGAAGTTGTTTCACCCGGAAAACCCATTTTCCCTTCACAATGTTGACGCCGGAGGGAGGAGAGACATCTGTGAAAGTCCCTGTGTGAATGAAGGCCTCACACTCTGCGATAATGGCCCCTATCCACTGAGCGGCGTTAGGACCAGAAACTGCTTCAGCATAGGTGAGAGGTGTGGGGATGGGAGGGGTTGTCCGAGAAGTTGAGGGTGGGAGATTCTGCGATATCTGGAAAGAGGGAGCAGAGCGCGTGTATGGCTGAGTCAATGTCAATCAACTCATGTCTGTCCTCAAGAAGGGAGGTCATGAGCGAATAATCACCCCCGGCAGGAGGAGGATTGAGAGAGACACGAATGGAAAGGGAAAGAGGCTTGGGAGCTTTGTGCGAGCGGGTGCGACCAGCGATGGGGGAGGGAGGCGGAGCTGGAGGAGGAGAAGCAGGAGGTGTAGTGGCAGCATCAAGAGCAGCAGCTGAATCAGGAGCAGGAGCCAGATCAGGAGCAGGAGGTGGATCAGGAGCAGGAGCAGCAGCAGGAGGACGGCGTTGGTAGGTTTTGAGAGGAATGGGCTCGGGGGCGGGAAGGAGCGGGGGAGACTGCGTGGTGCTGGATGGGGAAGCGGGTGACGGGGGGTCGGAAACTGTGGAGGGAGCGGGAAGAGGAGATGGAGTGGTGGCAGGAGGAAGGCTGTCAAAGTCAGCCCAAGTAAGAGAAAGAGGCGGAGGAGAAGGAGAAACTGTGGAGGAGGGGTAGAATGGGTGGGATTCATCGAAGAATACATCTCGGCTGCGATAGAGTTTGTTGGTGGTAGGATGGAGGAAGAGGTAGTCTGGTGAGTCCAAGTTGTTGCCCGAGGTACACGCACGTGATTGTTTTCGGAGCAAGCTTGCCGCCAGCTGCACGACGGGCTTGGGAGTTGAGGAGGACATAGGAAGTGCACCCCCATACACGAAGAGGGCGGACGGACGGCTTTTGACCCTTCCACAGCTCTGCGGGGATGGTGTGGGTGTGGTGAGGATGAGGATGGAGATTGTGGAGGGCGGCAGCATGGAGCATGGCGTATCCCCAAAGAGAGGGAGGGGCGGAAGCATGAGTGAGGAGGCAGCGAGCAATCTGCACCAGGATGCGGTTTCGGCTTTCAGCAACACCGTTCTGTTGGGGGCTGTCTGGGAGAGTGAAGGTCTGTTGGATACCCTCAGTAGAGCAGAAAGCTTTGAGAGTGTTGTTGCGGAATTCACCGCCACCGTCAGAATGAAGAAACTTGATTTTGGTTTTGAAGTGTGAATTAGCCTGCCTGGCCCATTCCATGATGATGGCTGGGGCTTCAGACTTGGCGGTGAGAAGGTGAACAGACACATAGCGGGAATAGTCATCAACGATGACAAGGAAGTAGAAGTGTCTGCCACGGGAACGAACAGGAGCTGGACCCCAAAGGTCCATGTGTACGCGATCGAGAGGTGCGGTAGAGATGGTCTCAGTGGGAGGATGGGGCTGTTCCCGAAGCTTGCTCTGTGCACAGTCAAGGCAAGGCGGTCCAGAAAGAGAGGGGGGTTGTGGAAGTGAGGCGGGCAGCCCATGAAGGAGTTGTTTGGTGGCTAGGTCTGAAAGTGCGCGGAAGTTGATGTGGCCGAGGCGGTTATGAAATAGCATAGTCTTGTCAGTGAGGAGGCGGCAGTGACATGAGGGGGAGTCTGAGGATGGAAGCAGAAGGTTGGTGAGGGAGCATGTTTGAACGGGAGGTACAACTAGTGTGTACAGGTTGTTGGAGTTTAGGGTGAAGCGGGCAAGATGGAGTCCGGTTTTGGCGTCAAACATGTCACAGTAGTCAACATCATTGGGAAAGATGGTGATCACGCCTGCGTGTTGGATTTCCCGCTGTGCAAGAAGGTTGTAGCGGAGGGTTGGGGCACAGATGCCAGTGACTGTGCCGGATGGGAAAGCTGGACAGGAAACTGTGGAGGACCCATGGCATTGGATGGAGAAGCTAGAATCGGCTCCAAGGAGTGAGGTGGGAGCCTGGTAGAGAACGAAGGCGGTTTGGTCTTTAAGCACTGTGTGGGTGGCACCACTGTCTAGTATGAACTCAATTCCCTGTGTGGTTGAAACACCGATGTACTGCGACCCCTTCTCATTAATAAGACCAGCACCAGAGAACAACAGGTTAAGGCGAACATCAGATGGGGCGCTAGCAAATGCCTGAGCAGGTTCCTCCACTGCCTCGACCTGGTTCACGCGACGGGGTGGTGCCCAGTTGGGAGGGCGCTTGTCCTTGGAGACACCATGGACGTCATACCACTCGTCATCTCGCTTCTTGAAGCAAGTTGCCTCAGAGTGGTTGGTGCCGTTGCATTTCTGCCCCGCACGTGGACCCTTCCTAATGAGGTACTGGCATGGGGGAAAGGAGTTGCGCCTCTGGCCCTGCTGAGAACGAAATGGGATGCTAGGGGAGTAGCGCACAGCATTGACGGATGCCTGGGCTGCAAGGTCATTTTCGGCAGAGAGAAGGGCCAAAGCGACTTTCTCGAAGGTGAGTTCCTTGGTGGGGAGCTGCTTGAGCATGGAACTGGTGACGTTGTAGGCCGGGGTGAGTCCGACGAGAAGCCCAGCAGCAGGTGCCTGTTCGGGGAAGGTGATCCCAATGTCCTTGAGCTCCTCATGGATGTTGCGGATTTCAGAGATGTAGTCTGCCATGCTCGGGCATTCCTCAAGGCGGATTTGGAACATGCGAGGAATGAGGATTGCAACTCCCACGGCAGTTTTGTCATGAAAACGATCCTGGAGGTACTTCCAAATGTCATGCGCAGAGCGGAAGGTGCGGTAGGACTTGACTAACTCAACTGGGGTAGTGGTGATGAAAACCCTAATCACTGCCGCATCCGCCTGCTCCCAGAGACTGAAGTCCATCTCATACTTGGTGGTCTTAGCATCGAAAGCGCTCTTGGCTGTGGCAGTGGCGCCTTCGCCGAGAGGATCGGGAGGGAGAGGCATCTTCCCCTTGCCGCGGTTGAGGAGGATGTCCTTGAGGCAAATCCCCTTGAGCTCCGAGCTAAGGAGGTGCTTCTCCACTCCATAGCACCACTCTCGGAAGTTGGTGCTCGTGCCGTTGGGAGCGAGGTTAAGGATGATGAGGTTTCCGACGAGGGTGGAAGTAGAAGTCGCCATTTCGCGCGGAGCGCAGCGCTAAAGTCTCCGATACGCAGCGCGGCGATCTTGGAAATTGCGGAAGTCCGAAACGCGATTTTGGCAATAGAATGCCCGTAATGTACCCTGCTATACTGCTTCGCCGATGCCCCCTGTTATGCTTCGCTGCTGCCCCTGTTCCGCTTCTCTGCTGCGCCGCTGACCTGTTCTGCTACGCCGCTGAACCTGTTCTGCTGCGCCGCTGAACCTGTTCTGCTGCGCCGCTGAACCTGTTCTGCTGCGCCGCTGAACCTGTTCTGCTGCGCCGCTGAACCTGTTCTGCTGCGCCGCTGGACCTGTTCCGCTGCGCCGCTGGACCTGTTCCGCTGTGCCGCTGAAAAACCTGTTCTGCTGCGCCGATGGACCTGTTCCGCTGCGCCGCTGAAAAACCTGTTCCGCTGCGCCGCTGGACCTGTTCCGCTGCGCCGCTGAAAACCTGTTCGAAGTTAAGAAGATGCGAAAATTGCCACGGAGATTTAAAAACCAGAAGCTTACGATGAAGGAAGTCGAAAGCTGAAAATGTCGCCGTTGAAAAAACGAGATGCGCGATGAAGGAAGCCGAATGCGCGCTTGACCGGAGCGACGATGTGGAGTTTCTGAAAAACGCTAAGCGTAGGAGCCGGGAGCCGAAATAGGCATAGCCTGGAAGGAGAGAACCATCGGGACGCCAAGGATCGGATTCCGCATGAGCGGAATTTACTAGCTCGATACCATGATAGAATTGGAACTGAACTGATTTATTGATAAGGAAGGCACTAGGCCTTAAGTACAAACACGGTTGGGTTGAGCAAAGCTAGGGAAAGGATGGGATGGGAATCCTAGCAAATCTCCAATTGGTGAGTTGGCAGATTTGTAGGATTACGAGGGAATTCCAACCAGATAGGGTTGGGATTACAAATCTACACCCAACCTACAAAGTAACCTAACCGATATAGAATATAGTACAAAGTGTTGACTGACTATTTCTAACACTCCTCCGCCCTTCTCTCCGCCGAGAAAGACTCCTCGGCCCAAGCCAAAGCCTACTCCCTCCGTGATCCCATGCCTCAAGCAAGTGTCGCATCAGCACTCGCCTCGGCGCCCTTTCAGCGCAACCGCTTCCCTCCATGCACCTACATCGTCAAGTATGGCAACCGCAAGGGACAAGTGTGTGGTGGCACTAACCACCCCCTCGCCACGTGCTTCAAGAAGAAAGACGACGAGTGGTATGCCATCCATGGAGTCGACAAAAAGCCGCCGAATTGCATGCGTCCTCGCAAGGCCAACGTAGTTGAGGCACAGGACCTTGCTCAGGCTAGTGCTAGTGATAGTGCCCCTGCTGATGTGCGCATCAACTTGTTGTTCCCTGGCACTGCCATGATTAATGAAGCAACTTCGCAGTACATCGGCTCATCACAGGCACCACAATACATAGAATTCACACTTGACAGCGGGGCCACTCACACAGTGCTCAAGGAGACACTCTCCTTCAAACCCTACACAACACCCATTCCTCTCCTTGGAGCTGATTCAAGCTTCACCACTCTTGCCAAGGGTTCATCCACAGTCCCGTGCCCCGCCTTCCCATCCGGCACTGTCACTGGCATGTGCGTGCCTTCACTACGCCACAATCTAGTGGCTCAAACGGAAATTCAGGAGGCGGGGTTACGCACTCGGAGAACGAGATCTATTGCGACATCATTGATCCACTCACCAACAAGGTCTTGGCTCGCTTCACCCTCAATAGCAGCGGCCTTTACACGCTACGCGTACCCATCCCACAGGTGTCAACCACCCAAGCACAGGCTACTATCACACCATGCTCATATCGCAACTTCTCCAACCCGACCATCCTCTACCACCATCGGCTCGGGCACCCAAACTTCCGCACGCTTGCTGGCATGGCCTCCAGGAAACTTCTTCTCGGCCTGCCAGCCTCACTTCTTCTTCTCGGCCTGCCAGCCTCACTTCCTCCACCACCTGACTCACCCGCCCCCACGTGCCTTGACTGCACCAAGAGCAAACTGCGCCAACAGCTCCACCCGGCCTCACCCTCAGTAGCAGCAGCCCCACTGGACCTAGTGCACATGGACGTCTGGGCCCCGGTTGCCGCACGGGGTGGCCATCGCTATTTCCTTCTGATTGTTGACGATCACACTCGCTACGTCTCTGTGCACCTCCTCCACACTAAGGCTGAGGCCCCGGAGGCAATCATGGCATGGGTTAACCAAGCACATACCTCCTTTGGCACCAAGGTCAAGCGCCTCCATTCGGATGGTGGTGGTGAAGTTTGCAATGACAAGCTCAAAGCCTTATGCTCCTCCCTTGGCATCCTGCAAAACTTCACACTTCCTAACAGCCCGCAGCAGAACGGCATAGCAGAAAGCCGCAATCACAAACTGACGCAGATCACTCGCTGCCTCCTCAGCCACTCCAACGCACCACTCACTCTGGGGGTACGCCCTCTATCATGCCGCCCTCCTCTACAACCTCTATCCCCACCCGCATCTCCCCGACACCACTCCCACCACACTCTGGCTTGGGAAAACACCCACTGCTCACCCCCTCCGCGTCTGGGGGTGCACCGCCTATGTACTCCTCAACCCCCAGGCTCGACGGTGGCAAGGTGGCTGACTTTGCTGACTTTGATGCACATCCCCCTTCCGGACCAACCTCTCTCGTGTGGGCTGACTTTGATGCACCTCCCGCGCTCCTGCCTGCACCAACTCCTTCACCTCCTACCTCCCCTGCCATCGCACCCTCTCCCTCGGAGGTCTCTGACCCGACCTCACCGGTGTCATCGGCAGCTGCTCCCCCATCCCCCCCTTCTCCCACTCTCCCAACTGCGCCACCAGTACCAAGCGCACCAATCACATACCATCGGCGGTCG